CTGCATGACGACAGCGAAATAGCAAATATTTCTTGATTTGATGAGTTGATGATTGATAAATTTCTTGCAAATATTCTTCATTTTTGCTCGTATTTCTGCAAGATTTTGTAAATTTTAAGAAAGAAAGGGCGAAAGAATCAGCTAAAAGAAGGGAGCCGACGTTAACGAAGGTAAGTTTGTTTTAAATATTGATTTTATAATGTCTTTAAAACCCGACGGCCAGGGGTTATTCTAAGCTGCATTTGCTAGGTCTTTCTGGAGTTGGAAAAAAAGATCTGGAGTTGTAACTGAAAAACACTGGAGTTGTGACTGATATAATATTGATAATAATATTGCTTTATCAACTTTCTGGAAAGTGAAAGCCAAAGGTGCTGAGTCTATTCGGACTGAAATGAGACGTATGAAGTGATTTTATTCGTCGTTATCACTTATCAGTTACATACGTTGATAGATTTTGTCACTTTAGTGCTCTGTCAGCAGGGGGAAACATTTTATTTATTTTTATAAAGACCCAGAAGTAAAATAATATTAATTGTGATTGCTAAATGGAAAGTATTTGACCTGAGATTGAGCTAAACTCATTCGAAAGTCGTATTTATTTCCTAAGATGTTTATAGTTTATGAAGTATGTCATCAGTTTATAGGAAATATGGAATTATTGTGCACTAAAGCCTATATAATAACTATTACAAATGTCCTTCTTTCAAGACGTAATTAATTTCCCCACCATTGACCCAATAAGAGCTTGTGTCCAACAGGTGTAACGTATACGTGGGGTCTTACGTCACCACACCGAAAAGTGACTAAGTGACTAACAGTTGCTGTGACAGAGTCACATACAGTGTAACTAGAGAATAAGTAAGATGAAGACCACACCAAATTCAAAAAACTTAATTAGCCGTGCTAGTTATTCTCAGGGATAATGCAGGTCGACAAAGTAGATCTTCTCCTCAACGGAGGGTCTAAACTGCAGGTTGCAGGTTAATGCAGGTTACAGGTCGGTGCAGGTTGGTCTAAACTGCAGGTTGCAGGTCAATGCAGGTCAGTGCAGGTTAATGCAGGTCAGTGCAGGTTAATGCAGGCCGGGTAATGGTTCATGTACTTTAGCCTGTGTTGCCCAGTCGGTTTGACAACTGGCTTAACATTACATGGGGCCAAAAAATCACGTTCAAAGTAAGAAAATAACATCCCGGTATCGACGATAACCGACGTTAATAAAGTAATCTACAAACAGGCCGCAATTTTTTAAACTTTGCATATAACCTAAGGCCTTGATACACTAGGGAAAGTTTCCTAAACAAAGTTTCTGAAACATTTTTTTAGGTGGAAAAACTGCAAGAATTTGGACTCCAAGGAGATTCATGCTCAAAAAGTGAAAAATCTTCCCAGTCATTCAAAATAAAACAAAAGGTTTAAGATTTTTTATGATACGAATGAAACTTGTTTCATAAAAGTTTGTTTCGGAGACTTTTCCTAGACATAGTGTATCATCAGACTTGCTCCAAGTCTCTCTTTCATTGTCATATCGATCCACTATAGTGTACATTACATGACGTAGTACGGAGGGGCGGAGCGAGAAAGAGAGACTTGTCAACTTCGGAAAATCTCGGTTCAAAACTGAACCGAAAATGCAAGACTTGCTTTAATTGTTTTCCTTCAATTTCTTTCTGTATTATTTACTATAATGGAACTCATGTTATTTACACTGTGCTAGATCAAACATTAAACACTGACAGAAAACAATTAAAGCAAGTCTTGCATTTTCGGTTCAGTTTTGAAC